ATGGCTGAATTGGACCGAAGGGTCTGTTTCTGTGCTGTGTATTTCTATGACTGTTAGCACTTCCGGAAACTTTAAAACAAAACTCCTATACTGTGGTAGCCTCTTTCGTAACCATCTTAAACTACTACCCTTTCTCAGGAGCAAAAGGTTCATAAATTTAGCTTTGGCCAAGACTTCTGCAAACTTGCATACTGGAACTAAGAGGGCTTTGTTCAAACTTATGGGTGTTTCCCCTCATCTCTGACCAGAACCTGATGCACATCTGTTTACTTTGTTTTTCTTGTGAAGACCTCCCAATGTAAACAAATTTCTATTAGTCTCCCTGGACCAACTCTCTGACTTTTTTTTAAAAATTACAGAAATAATTACAAAGCAATGATTAAGTCCCTTCAGATGTGAGGAAAATGCATATGCTACTAGTTCAAAATTCAAAAATGAAGGATATTATAACATTAATCTCACACCTTAGATGACACCAAGTCTTTCAAGTGGTGTTCCAGTTCTGAAAAAGGGTCACTAGACCCGAAGTGTTAACTCTGCTTTCTGTTCATGGAGGCTGCCAGACCTGCTGAGTTTTTCCAGCAGTTTTTAATTTAGTTATCCAGTTGTTTTTTTGAATGCTGTTATTGCATCTGGTTATCACCAATCACCAGTTGGAGCACCAGCCTTGTCCTCGCAGCGGTGCTATTTCCAATGCCTCTGAACTCTTGGAATCATTAACAATCCTAACCTAGAGCAGCGGCTGGTTTGGAGCAACTGCTGAGTTCTTTATTAAATTCAGTTTTCCCTGTCTGTGCTCAAGTAAAGGATCTATCTATTTCTACCCCCCCACCCCAGGTGGACTTTGAAAGTTGGTTTTATCTTGTCGTACCATATTTCTATCCATTTATAGTAATTCTAATAGTAAATATGTTGTATAAACCGAAGTACCGAGCCCATATTCTCTTGCACATGGCTTCCAAACACCTTTGTTTTTCAGGCTGTATTTGGGTCCTGGTCTGTTGCCAGATCTTTCTTTCACAAGGGATCAATTCTTTGTGCTTTTCACACTGCTTACTTTCCTCTCTTTGGTACTTCCTTCTGTAAGTTCCATCTGTGTAAGTTTAATTGACTTTTCATTTCTTATTGGGTGAGAACTAAGTATTCTGATCAGAGGGTTTGAAAAATGGAAATTATTAACCAGAGTACAGTGTTTTATCAATGTAACTTGATCCCTATGATTACTGTTGACTTTCTTTTAGCATTGTGGGTCTTGCAGCAGATTATATTACTTAATCAGTGATTTTTGAAGGGGGGGAAGTTGTATTTTATGGATTCATGAAACTACCCAGAAGCTGGATAAAATGGTCTCCTGGGAGTTGACAAAGCTGTGGATGAAAATATTGCTGGATTCAAGGGAAGTTGAGATTTAAGTATAGAATTCGTGCAGGCTGCTCATAATTCAAATTTTAACTCTGAATTGGATTGATAAATCACTTGAATTGAGCTGGGTCAGACACTTTGTTGAATAATTTTATAAAACAATCTATGCTTATTTTGAATTTAGTTTGTTCTGGATATTTGAATAAAAGTTCCTCTGGGCAATAAGGTGACAGTTTTGTGGTCACAAAGAGCTGACTGTAGATAAATCTGAGCATATCAACTTCAAATTAGCAGGGAGAGATAGCATTCCTCAAACTGAGTAGGCAGGGTCCTTGAGAGTGCAGAGAAAATGCACCAGAATAACTGTTGGATGAGGAATTCCAGCTACAAGATTACAGTTGGAGAAGCTGGGATTTTTCTCCATCGAACAAAGGAAATTGAGGGGAGATTTGGTGATTGTTTACAAAATTATTAGATTTAGGTAAGGTAGAATAGGAAAACATGTTGACAGTGCAATGTGGGGACACTTTTACAATTTCAGACAGAAGGATGTAAGGAAGGACTTCTTTGCAGCAAGTGCTAATGTCAGTCTGCAACAGTGGTGGAAACTAAAATGATGAATAATCTTCCAAGGGAAATTGGGTAGATGTTTGAGAGAAATAAATCTGCAGGCTCTGGGGTGAAAAAAGCAGAAGAATGGCACTGATTGGTTTGATATGCGGTGATTTAGTGTGGTCTTAATGAGCGGAATGGTCTTATTAGAGCTGCAGTGTCTCTGTATCAATTGTGTCTCCCTGTCCATGTGTGGTTTCTTGCAGTTGAAAGAAAAGCCACCAAGAACGTATTTCGTTTAGCAATATTAAGTGCCCTTTTAAAAATAGTTACGTAGAGCAATTCACAGCTTCAACTGCAGTATTTTTCATTTTGCTGTTAATATGTTGTATGGCATTTGTATTATTAATTATTTCATGCTGCACAATGGACACCAGATGGCTTGTTACTTTTCCATCAAAAGTCATATTTTTTTGCAATTTGCTTCTTACTGACTAGTTAACTGCACCAACTACCTTAATTGTGTTTCTGATTTGGGGGAAAAATATTGTGTACGAAAGGCAGTGATAGTTTTGGTTCATGGGAATATGGTAGGCCGAGTAGACCAGGTGTCAGTGGGGAACATCTAGGGCAACACCGTGGCTCAGTGGCTAGCAATGCTGTCTGTCAGTGCCAGGGACCCGGGTTCAATTCCACCCTCAGGCAGCTGTCTTGTGGAGTTTGCATATTCTGTCCGTGTCTGCGTGGGTTTCCTCCGGGTGCTCCGGTTTCCTCCCACAGTCCAAAGATGTGCAGGCTAGGAGGATTGGCCATGCTAAATTGCCTGTAGTGTCCAGGGCTGTGTAAATTAGGTGGATTAGACATGGGAAATGCAGGGTTACAGGGAAAGGATAGGGGGATGGGTCTGGGTGGGATGCTCTTCAGAGGGACTTGTTGGGCCGAATGGCCTGTTTTCACACTGTCAGAATTCTATGACTTAGGGGACAGTAATTGTTGCATCTTAAGGTTTAGTGGATAATGGGAAATCACAATGAAATCTAAATCAATTGAGTTTGTGATTGCTGCTACATTGTGATTTCTCATGTTTGTCTGCATATATTCTTTAAATCCAGACCAATATTTTTCAATGTGTTAGCCATGTTAATGTTAACATTCAAGGGTTTTTGATATTGCGTTTCGTGGTCTGACTTTGAACAACAGTGGAAAAGCCCAATAATTGGTCAGTATCTATGTTCTCCAGCTTGTGAAACTTCTAATATAATTTCTTTTGAATTTTTAACGAGCAAATTGTCCTCGTTTAGTGCTTCCCGAACTTTTTCCTACTGTGACCCATTTCGAGGCTTGTAAATTGTCACAAGCCCTCTCAGAGTAGGCTGGAGAGGTGCAGCTGTTAGAGTGGTAAAATGGGTGTCTGGGAGAATGGAGTTCTGTCTGTCCAATTGGAATCGCAGCTGTCATCACTCAGTTAGAGCTCCATGATGACCATTGCTGCAATGAAACTTATGACTCTCAAATTTTGGCCAATGACCCTGCTTGGTATCCTGACCCCCAGTTTGGGAGTCCCAGTTCTCAATGTTCATTGATGTGGTCATAACCCATTTTGCTGTATCGAAAGGAATGGAATCTGTATATTTTAATTGAATAGTATTTAATACATTTCTGGCAAGTGTGTACTTTCTATTAGGACTTTTTGTGCTGTTCCCAGTTCATTGCCATTTGTATAAGCTAACTACAGTGTTGTCACTAAATTTGTGTGCTGTAGCTGGCTTGAACTTTGGCCATACTGTCATCAGCATATAGATACAGTTGGTTCTGATATAACATGATAGTTTCATTCTCGTGCAATCTCGCATTATAAGAAAATCGCACAGTAGCCTGCCATTTAAACTAATGGGACTGGAATTACGTTATAGCCAATACAAGTAAGGAAAGTTCGTGTTCTATAAATAGTAGTCTAAATTCTTCAAACGCATTGAAGTCAATTTGCGTTGAAGAAACACGCATTATAGCAGATCTGACTGTAATCCAGAATTTTGCATGAAGATCGGACAACGTGTAACCACTTTCACCCATCACCCAACACTTTGCACAGTTGCTGTTGACTCCACTCTACATCAGAATACTCCTTCACATGTTTTAAATGTAATGGCTGAATCAGTAAGCATTGTTCTCTATTCCCATCATTGAAACAATTAAATCTTTTCCAGTTCTTCAGTATTTATGGTAGGAGATTAAGCATTGCTAATGTTTCCACGCTTGTTCACCTTCCACCTTAGCTTCCTGTCATCATCTTCTACCCAATGTGTTATGTCTCCAAGAAGTTAGGCGTTTTATTTTCTCTCATTAGCTCTTAGTTATAGAAGGCAACTCTGTCCAGCACTTAACTACCTCTCCTTTATCTCGTCAAGTACTTTGAACTCCTTTCATGTATTGTTTTACACTATGTAAAGAAAAATGCTACTTTTCTCCTTCTATCTAAATCTCCATTATGTTCCTGTTAACATGTTGCCCTTATTTCTGCTATGCTAAAAAGAATCTACTTCTGTATTCTTCATTATTCCATCATGCTCATGTTGTAAATTTATTCTTTCAAAGGACTTTTTAAAAAAAATTATTAAACTCTTTACCTAGCTTATTCTTCAATTTTTAAACTTCTGAAGTCCAGCTTGTTGTCTGATCATTGCATGATGCATCTCTACTTCTATTCTTTTCAGTCTTGATGGTGCCCAGCAAAATATGTCTAACAATTTAAAGGAAAACTGAATCTTTCTTGAACAGAAGAACTGAAATTCCACTTGGCTGTTTGTACAAAATGCTTTTTGTTTGATTATGGCTCCCTTTATGTATGACACTTGACACAACTTCATTGTGCTTGGTTTAGTCCTGGAGATCTGACGTTTTGAGAATACACCAATAAGTTTTAAAATATTTTAGGTTTTTTTAATTAAAATCACTTTCTTTGTAGCATGCAACTTAAACATTGCTAAAATGAGACACAGAGTTGAAGGTTTTTGTCTTGCGCTCTTTTGGACTAGGATGTGCGAAACCAAACTTGGAAAAAGGATAACAGTTTATACACCATGCAAAAAAGGTATAGATTGGCCCATTATTGGCATGGAGAATGCAGCAGGATAAGTTAACTATTAATATTATCACAATTAACTAATCTGCCATATGTCCACCCATCCTAGTGTTGTCTTGTTGGCAAAAACTATCCTGTGGTTCTCAATCCAGTCAAGTTTTGACTACTACAAATTTTGAAATTTTGTTTTACTACAACATCAAAGTCATTCATGAATACCAAGACAGTAGTCATTTTCTGGAACTAAAGTTGTACAAATGTTACTTGCAACGTATCAGCCACTGGACTGGATTTTGTTTGTCTTGCTATGTCTTACAAGCCTGGACTACTTTATTGTCTGTGCAGTTATAAGTGGAGCTGAATGCTGTGCAGTCATCAACTATCTCCACATCTTGCCATTGTAGACGGATGATATTGAAGACGCTAAGGATGATTAAGCATAGCACACTTCCCTGAACTAGTACCGCAGAGATGTCCTGAGGCTGAGATGATTGGTTTCCACAGACATAGCCATTTTTCTTTGTGTTAGATATGGCTCAAACTAATGGAGACTTTTCATTTGATTCCCATTGACTGCAGCTTTCCTAGGGATTTCTCATTGCCATACAGTGAAATGCTGCTTTGATTTCAATGGCAGTCAATTGCACCTCGGCAATAGTGTGCAGTTGCCAGTACCATTTTTTCCCACAGTTTCTCGAAATGGACAATTTATGTTAGTGTCTCAAAAACATCAATCCTTGTACTCCTCATTACTTATGAATAAAAATCAGTTGTCAGTTTCTTTTAGCATGTTTAGCCTGTTCAGGATTTCCCATTGGAATTGTCTCATACCTATTTATTTTACAGAATGTTCCTGAAATTAGTGATGTGGGCAATATAAATAGAGTCAAAGTGACAGATTTGTCTTGGGAGGGCATTTCAAATTTTTGAGAGTTTTTGGAAATAAATAAAGGTAGGGACATTAATTTTTGGGTCCGACTACGTGTTGTTAGATTTTTTTTAACCTACTTGATTTTAGTTTTGGCTTTTCCAATTGCTGGTTTAGGTCATTCAATGTTTAACTTCAGTGTTAACCTAAAACCACGTGCTTTCAAAGGCTTGACAGTTTTGCTTTATTAGAATTCTTCCTGTGACATTTGAGACTATTTTTCATTTTGAGATAGTGATCATGAGTGATTAATTGGTTATGTAGTGCTTTTGGATGTTCTGACAATATGATAAGTGCTGTATAGATGCAAGTTCCTTCTTTACTTCTGAAGGTATGCTACTTTTACATTGTAGAAATTTAGAATGTCTACCTAATTTTAGAATTGTCTGAGCCTGTAACTGTAATTTTACCGCAATTCGAAAGGAATGTGTTTGTTTGCAGCTTTTCAAATAGGTAGGCTAGGTGAATAATTGAGGCCAAATTTCTCTGGAGTAGTGTGCCTTACGACATTGACTTTTTTTTTCATTCATTGAATCATACAGTACAGAAGAGCTCCTTCACTCAATCAAGCCTGCACTACCAAAACTACAGCAAATCAACACTAGTCCCACTTTCTAGCATTTGGCCCATAGCCTTCAATGTTACGATAGTTCAAGTGCTCATCCAAGTACTTCTTAAAAGTTGTGCAGTTGCCCACCTCAACAACCCTCACAGGCCGTGCATTCCAGAACCTCACCACCCTCTGAGGGGAAAACAAAATCTGGAATTAAAAATGTGCTAAGACCATGAAACCATTGTTGATTGTCAGAAAAACTCATCTGGTTCACTAATTTCCTTCAGGGAAGGAAATCTGCCATCCTCACCTGGTCTGGCCTATATGTGACTCCAGATCCACAGCCATGTGGTTGACTCTCAGTTGCTGTCTGAAAGGGCCTAGCAAGCCATTCAGTTGTACTAATCTCTACAAAGTCTCAAAGAAATGATACTGGATCGATCACCAGGCATCGACCCAGGCACTGGAAGAGACAACAGTAGAAAGAACCTTGTTGATCCTCCTCATTAACATCTGGGGGCTCGTGCCAAAATTGGGAGAGCTGTTTCACAGACTGGTCAAGCAACAGCCTGACCAAAGGTCCTCAGACAGCACCTTCCAAACCCATGATCGCTTCCATCTAGAAGGACAAGGGCAACAGATATATGGGAACAGCACCACCTTCAAGTTTTCCTCCAAGCCACTCACCGTCCTGACTTGGAAATATATCAGTGTTCATTCACTGTCGCTGGGTAAAAATTCTAGAATTCCCTCTCTAATGATGTTGTGGGTCAACCCACAGCAGGTGGACTGCAACAGCTCAAGAAAGCAGCCTAGCCCCATCTTCTCGAGGGCAACGAGGGTTGGGCAATAAATGCTGGCCAGCCAGCGATGCCTACATCCCACAAAATGAATTAAGGAAAAAGTAGTGTCAGTGGCCACTGTTCTAATTACGTGCCTTTCCTGTAGGTGAGAGGGTAGCCTGCCTGTCATGTTGCAGTGGTATTTCCATTTGGCCTAATCTGTGAGCAATCAGAAGCATGGATGGTGGGGCAGGGCAGGGTGTTCCTGCAATTCCCCCAACCAGCAGAACGTAAAGGATATGCACTTATCTTGTAACAGTCGGATACTGTGAAGACTATACCATGATCGATGTTAAGCTTGCTGGTCAGCTCTTAATCAGCTCTCATTGTTGCACAATTCAGTAAGTGGTCTAAGTGTTGAGTCCGATAAGTCAGTCACCATTAAATATGTCTGCCCCAACATTTAGACTAAAAAAGGGAGAATTGCGGCCATTGTTTTAATTTAATCACAAATTGACTTAGATAAGAATAAACTATGATTTTGGAAATTCTTGTGCTGTTCCTATTGTCTGGTGTGTGTGTTTGTTTTTTTTTGCTAGCTGTTGTGTAAGACTTGCTGTGTATTGAAGTAAAAGGTTTGGTATGCAGGCAAAGTCTTTGGAATTGTTTTGGAATAGTGAATTTGTTTTGCTGAAGAGTTGGTGCTCCGAATTGTAACTTTTCATCTTTATTTAAGGATCATCAAGTAGCAATTACTTATACGAACAGATGTCTAAAGGTAAGTTACCAAATAGCCTTCAATTTGTGTCCTTAAATTCACATTTTCTGATGACATTTTCCATTTTGCTATACAACTTCAAACAGAATTAGTTGGTTGCTGCCTCTGGACTTGGTTCATTGATGTAAATCTGATGGTGGCTGAATTTTTCAAATAAATTTAACCCCTTTCTGCCCACATAAGAATAAGACCAGTATAAATAGGAATAGAAGTAGGCCATTCAACAGGATCGTGGTTCATGTGACACTCACCATGTCTACTTTCCCCATTATCCTTGATGCCCCTACTGACCAAGGAGCTATCTATTTCAAGTCTTGAATATACACCAGGTCCCTGCCCACACAGCTCTCTGTGGCAAGGAGTTCCCAAAATACTCAAGGCTCTGAGAAGAAAGTCCTCCCTATCTCAATTTTTAAATTGGTGTCCCTTCGTTCTGAGACTAGTTCTAAACTCCCATGAGGGGAAACATTCTCTCAGCATTTACCCTTTCAAGAAACTTAAGAATTGGAGTAGATCTGTAGCTCAGGTTGTGGGTGTTGAGGTTGGTTGGCTCGCCAAGCTGGTTTGTTGTTCTGCAGACGTTTCATTAGCGTGCTTGGTAACATCCTCAGTGCAGCCTCTGATGAAGCGTCGGTGTGTTTTCCTGCCTGGTTTTTAACCTCGGGTCCGTTGCAATGGATCGCCTCACTTTCGGGTTTCCTCCGTAGTGGAATGTATATGGGGTCGAGTTCAATGTGTTTATTAATAGCCTGCTTCATGGAGTGCCATGCTTCCAGGAATTCTCGTGCTTGTCTCTGCCTAGCCTGTCCCAGGATCTTGGTGTTGTCCCAGTCGAAGTCGTGGTTCTCCTTGTCCATGTGGATTGAGATGAGTGAGTATTGGTCATGTCTTTTTGTAGCCAGGTGTTCATGTACTCTTGTTAGTTTCCTTCCGGTTTGTCCGATGTAGTGCTTTCTCGCAGTCTCTGCGGGGGATCTTGTAGATGACATTGGTCCTGTCCATGGCAGGGAGTGGGTCTTTAGTTCCGGTGAGCACTTGTTGTAGGGTCGATGTGGGCTTGTGTGCCACTCTGATGCCCAGTGGTCGTAGAAGTCTTGTGGTGAGTTCCGACGTGTTCCTGAGATAGGGTAGTGTGATGAGTGTGTCGGCGCGTGTAGAATCTTTCTGATGCTGTTCCTGTAGGCATCTCCTGACCCAGTTCTTTGGATATCCATTATCCTTGAACACTTGGAAGAGGTATTCCTCCTCCTCTTGGCGTAGTTCCATATTGCTGCCCTTTTAAATAGTGTTTGCATGCAGCTTCGTTTGTGTGTGCTGGGATGGTTACTACTGAAGTTCAATACCTGGTCTGTGTGTGTGGCTTTTTGGTGTACTTTCGTTTGCAGTTCCCCCTTTGTCTTGCGCTCTACCATGACGTCCAGGAATGGGAGTTGTTTGTTCTTCTCCTCCTCTCTGGTGAATTTTATTCCGGTGAGGGTGTTGTTTGAGTTTTGTGTCTCTTCTAATTTGATCCGTTTAATGATGACAAAGGTATCATCTACGTTGCATATCCATAGTTTAGGTTGGATTTGCAGAAGGGCAGATGGAGCTATGTGTGGAGAGACTGCAGAACTCGATGGTACAGAGAAAATGAGTGTCCTGGTACATGAATCACAAAATGTTAGTATGTCATACGGGTACAGCAAGTGATTCAGAACGTAAATGGAATGTTTCCTTTTTTTGGCAGTGACAGTGGGATGTGAGGGAAGCTTTTGTGCAGAGCCTTGTTGATTTGGCTTTTGGAGTGTATATATAGTTTTCGTATCCGTTTTCAGCTGATTCTGGGGTAAAGGGTTTAGCTTAAGAAAGGTTGAACAACTTGTGCCTGCTCCTTTTTGAGTTTAGAAGAATGAGAGATGACCTTACTGAAACCTTTGGTCTTAAGGGTGTTTTACAAGGTGAATGCTGAATGGATATTTTCCCCAATGGGTGAATGTGTAACTAAGGGTCACTGTTTAATGATGAGAGATCTCCTCCTTTGCAATAGCAGAGATAACAGTGTGGAGCTGGAGGAACACAGCAGGCTAGACAGCATCAGAAGAGCAGGAAAGTTGACGTTTCGGGTCGGGACCCTTCTTCAGAAGTGGGGAGGGGGAAGGGAGCTGGGAAATAAATAGAGGACGGGTGAGGCTGGGGAAGGTAGGTGGGATGGTGATAGGTGAATGCAGGTAGGGAGTGGTGGGGATTGGTCAGTGAGGTGGGAGGAGCGGATAGGTGGGAGAGAAGATGGACAGGTTGTGTCAGATCAAGGAGGCGAGGATGAGAGGGAGGGTTGGACATGGGATGAGGCCGGGGGTGGTGAATCCTATGTTTAGACCATTGGGCTGTAGGCTCTTGAGGCAGAATATGAGCTGTTGCTCCTCCAGTTTGTGTGTGGTGTGATTTGTGGCACTGGAGGAGGCCTAGGATGGACAAATCACCCAGGGAGTGAGTTAAAATGGTTGGCGACTGGAAGGTGTTGTCGTTTGTCGCGTGCAGAACGCAAATGCTCTATGAAACGGTCCCTGTGTCAACGCTTGGTCTCAATGATGTAGAGGAGGCCACATCGGGAGCAACGGATGCAGTCGACCAAGTTGGCAGGTGTACAGGTGAACCCCTGTTGGATATGAAAGGTTTGCTTTAAGCCTTGAATGAAGGTGAGGGGGGAAGCTGTAGGGGCAGGTGTAGCACTTCCGGTAGTTGCAGGGAAAGGTGCCCGGTGTGGTGGGGTTAGTGTAGAGTGGATGAGGGAGTTGCAGAGTGAGCGGTCCCTACGAAAGGCAGACAGGGGAGGGAAATATCTCTTTGGTCGTGGGGTCAGATTGTAGGTGGTGGAAGTGGCAGAGAATGGATACGCTGGATGTGGAGGTTGGTGGAGTGGTACATGAGGACCGGGGGATTCAGTCTTTATTTTTGTTGCGGGGGGAGGGATTTTGAGGGCAAAAATACGGGAAACGCAAGAGATGTGGTTGAGGGCATTTTTGATCACCGGAGGGTGGGACGTTGCGGTCCTTGAAGTAGGAGGACATATGGGATGTATGGGAGTGGAATGCTCAATGTTGGGAGCAGAGGCGGTGGAGGAATTGGGAGTAAGGGATCACATTCTTGCAGGAGGGTGGGTGAGAGGAGGTGTAGTCCACATGGCTATGGGAGTCAGTGGGCTTGAAATAGATGTTAGTGTTAAGGCAGTTACCAGAGATGGAGACGAGGATGGAGGTATTGGAGATGGTCCAGGTGAATTTGAGGTTGGGGTGAAAGGAGTTAGTAAAGTTGATGAACTGTTCAAGCTCCTCATGGGAGCACGAGGCAGCGCTGATACAGTCATCAATGTAGCGGAGGAAGTGGTGGGGGATAGTGCCAGTGAAAAGGGGCTGTTCCACATATCCTACAGAGAGGCAGGCATAGCTCGGACCCATGCGGGTGCCCATGGCCACCCCCTTAGTCAGTAGGAAGTGGGAGGTTGGGTGTAGAGCTGGAGCTGGGAGTGGTGGTGGAGACTGTCTCAGGAGTGGAAGTGATGGAAGCAAACTGGAGGAGCAATGCCTCCTATTCCACCTCGGGAGCCTACAGCCCGAAATTCTAAACGTAGAAATCACCATTTTTAAAATCTCCCCACCCCCGTCCTCATCCCATGTCCAATCTTCCTCTGATCCCTGCATCCTTGACCCTGACACAACGTGTCCGTTTTCTCTCCCACCTATCCGCCCCACTACTTCCTATCTGCATTCACCTATCATTATCCCACCTACCTTGCCCAGCCCCACACCTCTTCTGTCTATTTTTATTTCCCAGCTCCCTTCCCCCTTCCCATTTCTGAAGAAGGGTCCCGACCTGAAACATCAACTTTCCTGCTCCTCTGATCCTGCCTAGCCTGCTGTGTTCCTCCAGCTCTACACTGTGTTCTCTCTGATTCCAGCATCTGCAGTTCTCGCAATTTCCTTTGCAGTACTGCTGGTTGTTTTTTTTTAATCTGAGACTTAGTAGTTTGTGGAATTCTTTGCAAGAAAAGAGTGGAGGCTGAGTTATTGAACTTATTCAAGACCGTGTTAGATTCTTGGGAGACCAGGGAGTTTAGAGTTAAGAGATGCAATAATGAGAGCTGAGGCCACAATCAGACTTGCAGGGATGAATGACTTTTCTGACTCCTCAGTCCTTTGTTCAAAATAGGTTCTGAATTACAAGTATGTTGCTAATTACTATGTTGTATTTAAGTTTCAGTCATGTATCACTTGAATTGTAATAATTGGATTTTATTTTACTGCATGTTGCAAGGATATGACATGCACAGTTATGTAGCTTCGGAAGAACATACAAAACAATTGTCATCTTGGGCTGGTGTAGAAAAAAGAATGAGAAACAGCAGGCATGTGTTTTTAAGTGCTTTCCTGTGCTAGAATTAGGTGTTATTTCCCATTTATGTACAGGAACATTGAGCTGCAGTTTGTTTTCTTGACATAAATGGGAACACTGTTAACCACGTAAATTAAGCTTAATCTAAAATTTTAAAGAAGTGGTTTAGTAGCCCTCCTTTAGGTATAATAAAGACATAGTTGTGAGCAATATGGCAAAAGCAACCATACAACCTGCCCATGTGATGCCCATAATACTGGGATAAGGACTGCAGTCTGAGTTGGTTCAACTTGACTAATGTTAGTGGCTAAAAGTCTTTGCGTTTCTGTGAAGTCTAAAAAGTAAATTAAGTCCCTTTTTTTAGAGAGCGTATGCCTTTCTGGAACATACGGAAGGTATATTTGAAGAATATAGAGGCATAAAGAATTTAAGTCCTTTCACTTGGATGTATTACCAAACAGCTCTTGGACCCTGGGAATCAATATCTATTTGAGATCCTCACTTTCGGAGAAGCAGGGAACAGAGCTACGAATTCAATAATTACTTCTGTGATTGCACCTGATGAAGGGTCTGCGCTCCGAAAGCTTGTATGATTTCAAATAAACCTGTTGGACTGAAACCTGGTGTTGTGTGACTTCGGACTTTGTCCACGCCAGTCCCACATCAGCATCTCCACATTCTCTGAATAAAGGCCGTTTAGATCTTGTATCTTCTCATTCTTAAATAAGCCCAGCAATTAAAGACTGGTTAGTTTAACTTAACAGTGGTGGGGAAGGTTTTAAAAAAAGCAGTTATTTGGAATAGAATTAGTAGTCACATAGCAAAAGGTTAGTTCATTTTGAAAATTCAGCATGGATTTTTTTTTTCAAGAGGAAATCGTGTTTAGCTAACTGGAGTATTTTTTTGAAGAGGTAACCAAGGATCATTGAAGATAATGCTGATGTAGTGTGCATGGATTTCCAGAAAATGTTGAATATGATGCCACACAACAGATTTGAGAAAAGGTATAGCATATAAAATAAAAATGATAGTAACAACATGGAAAAAATCTTTGGTTGTGTGATAGGAAACAGTAATGGTCGAGGATAACAAGGTGTAGAGCTGGATGAACACAGCAGGCCAAGCAGCATCATAGGAGCAGGAAGGCTGACGTTTCAGGCCTGGACCCTTCATCAGAAAATGGTCAAGGATATTTTTCGGGCTGGAGGTTTATAGTGGAATTCCCTAGGGGTTAGTATTGGGACCCTTAGTTTTCCCGTGTGATGCTAATTATCTGGATCTTGGCGTTTGGGAGACTATTTCAAAGTTTGTAGATGATATTAAATTTGGAAATATTGTAAACTGAGGAGGATTGTATAGAACATGAGAAGGACATTAATAAGTTGGTGGATTGAGTGGTTAGATGGCAGGTGAATTCAATGCCGAGAAATGTGAGGTGATGCATTTTGGTAAGAAGAACATGGACAGATAATATAACACAAGAGTTACAATTCCAAAGGTATTGCAGGAGCAGAAGGACTTGGTGTATGTGCATAGTTGATTTCAAGGTGGAAGGTAAGATGGGGTGAGCAGTTAACAAAGCATACAGTATCTTGGGCTTTTTAAAATATGGACATAGAGTACATGTGCAACAAGGTGATGTTGAATATGTATGTGACACTAGTTAGGCCTCAGCAAGAATTTTGTATATAGTTGTGGGTGCCACATTATAGAAAGGATGAGATGCCAAGGAGAGAGTACAGAAGAGATTTACAAGAATGGTTCCAGGGATGGGAAACTCCAGTTATGAGGACAATTTGAGGAGGTTGGGACTGTTCTTCGAGAGAAGGCGGCCAGGAGAAAATCTCATCATGCTTTCAAAATCATGACAGGTGCTAGGAGGAGTAGATGGGGAGAAATTGTTTCTGCTTGTAAAAAGGAACAGGAGTGAGAGAACACAAATTTGAAATGATTTCAAAAGAAGCAAATGCGAGAAGAGGAAAAACCTTTTTTGTACAGGGTAAATTAAGTGGAAGTGTGATGGAGGCAAGTTCAGTTGGGACATTTAAGAACATCACATAATTGCTTCTGTTCAAATAATGTTCAAGGACACGAGAAAAGGTTGGAGAATTGCGCTAAGCCGGCATACTCAGTCGGAGAGCCTCTGTAAGCATGATGGGCTGAATGCCTGCCTTCTGTATCATACTTGTCTGTGACAGTGTAAACCTATTCACATTTAGTCTTTAAAGTCCACATGAACATATTTTTGTGATTCTTTACTAAATGTTCTTAGAAGTATTAACTTAAGTTGAATTTAAGACTGCAAGAAGAAATTATGCCAAACCTGACTTTGAAAGTTTACTGTCGGGACGCATCCATCCCATTAATAAGTGCGTTTTTTTTCTCTTTTATTTTTCTTTCCTCCATGTAAAGGGCCTAGTAATGAACAGAATTCCATGTTGGTATCTTAGCCCTCCATGACTGATTAATCGAGAAGTCTGTGGTTCTTTTGGTTCAGTGGAAAGACCGAATTGAGACCTTATTGACAATTCATAAAGTTGACGTCCAAATATTCTGATCGATTAAATAAATTAACCTATTTTCTAAAGTTTCAAAGTAATGTTATATGTAATTAACCCAAGTGAACTGAATGTGAAACTAAATGTTAAACTGTTTAATTTTTACTGTGTAACATATAAAAGTAAAGCTGTTTGATTCGAATTGAGATAA